CACATATATATATATATATATATATATATATATATATATATGTATATATTTGCAGCATTTGCAGCGTACGCGCAGTGAATAAAACTTTTTATCCTTTCTATATTTATATTAAATTTATACAATAAAGGAAATGATTTTAAATTTTATATAAATATGCTAATTACATGGAATTAAAATGTCTCTAAGAACATTTATTTAAGTATCGTATATCATTTCTAATCAAATAAATTGAATTTAAGGAATTTGTATTAATGTTTTATTATCGAAAAAATCAATAGTAGAATTCTTCAAAAAATTTATAAAAAACAATGGATATCTGACTAGTGTAATTATCTACTACTATATAAAAATCATTGAGATAATTGTATGTTATAATCATTAATAAATTTATCAAAAATTATTTGTTAACTTATATTATATTTTTATTGAGTGCAAATGCAATTCGGACGAATACAGGGCTTAAAATCTTTTAATATTTAGTAAGTAAATTAAAAAAAAATGAATTAAAAAATTAAGGTAGAAGATGAAAAATTTGAGAAACTTGAAATGGCGTTAATAACTTCTCTAAAATCCTCTGTATATAAATTTTTAACAAAAAATTCTACCTTAATTATTATAAACTTTAAAATATCCTGTATAATATTAACTTACACACACCCAGTTTCCTCTCAATACAGGGTAACTAAAAAATCAAACTCGCTTTCGTACTTCAGTAAGAACGTGCCATAAAATGATCCCATCATCCTCTATTTGCGTTTGTATTTTCACATTTAGCAATCTGGCAAACTTTTCACAAAAATATTTTAAATAATTTTTTTAAAGATACCGGTAAGTATCAATACTTGAATTCACTATTCCCTTTATAAATTATATTTGTATTTTTTCTGCATTTTTCCTAAATTTTATTTTGTATTTTTTTTTTTTTGTTATGTTTTATTTTGTTAAATTTGTTCTACTATCGTTTCAAGTTTTTTGGTGCTTCTCACACCACTGCATTGATGTATTTTCTTTTGACTATATTAATACAATATTAGGAAGAACTCTTTTTTTGCAGATATTTTTGTGTGAGTCGAACGACGAGATTATTTCTTTGACTTATTTCATTATCCAACTTTTTTACTTTTTTTTAAAATTTCTGTTAGATATTTACATAATTTTAAAAACATTTTATTTTAATGATTTTTTCTTCTTTTCTTTTAAAAAATCTTTGCATATTTTACATCATGTTTTCTCGTAACATCAATCAACAAATACAAAGTAAGTGTTTTCTATCGTAATTGGTGCTAAATTAAGATGATCATCTTAACAGGTTTCTTCAACCCAGCGAAAGGTATGTACATATTTTTCGTAAAAACAATTTTACTATATAAATATATATGTAAATATGCATATGCAAAATATATATGTAATGCTTCAATTTGCTCAAATATAACCAACCTTTCAACTGCCTACTTTCGGACTAATAATTTAATTTATAGTTTCCATGCGACATAAATCTTTTTCCTAACACTATAAATAATTCTACCAATAATATAAGAAAAATTGACTCTATAGCAAAAAATACAATTCATATTAAAATTCAGTTATAAATTTCTAAAATTTGAGGAGCAAGTCAAAAGGAAAATTAAGGTATTCTTTGTTCCATTTCGTCTGAAGTGAATAAAGTACAAATGAAGTACAAAACTGTACATCCTATAGTTACTGCTCTATAAACAAGATCCTCCCTCAATATTTAAACATCAAACATTTTTTAATGCTTAGACACTGAGGAAGAACTGATGTTAGATCCGAAAGTATAGTGTTTTCATTTCTAAATATTATCTGAGTATTCGCAATTGGTTTTGCCCTAGTTTACGAAACAAATTCACTTTATTTGTTTGACTGTTTTGCCTAAACTGTATTAATCGTTTTTTTTTAATATTAGTCATGAATATCTCAAATAAATCTTCATTTTGGTGAAACAGTTCGTAAAAATACAGATTATGCACATTGCTAGAAATATTTTCCGTTACAAAAATGAAAAAAATTACAATATTTTATTTAAGATTAAATTCATTGTTTAAGAAACAGCTTTTCTCCTTTTCCCTACATTTCTTCGGAACTTTCGGAACTTTTTGAAATCTGTACCATCTTATTAACACTTCGGAACTCGAATATTGTCTTCGGTCTTCGCATTCTATCTCTTAATCTTAATGATTCGAAAGGTTGATTTTAAATATTGTAATAAATGCGTGTAGGCGATATTTAAATTACGAATTATTTTTTTTAATAAAGAAACACTTTTTTTTAACGGATTTAAATTTGGCCATTTTTGCATAAAATTTATAAAAAAATTAATTTTTGTTAAAGTTAATTATTCATTTTGAAAACTTGGATTTGAACAATGGTTTAAATTACTGCTTTTATTATTATTCTTGCTTTACTTAGACATTCTTAAATCCTTGCTTCCACGTAAGTATCATTTTTTAATCGCATTTTTTAAATATCTTAGCATAAATTTAATTTCCTCATGGAAAGGAAATACTTACCATTTAGAATACTTTGACAATTTGTGTTTACTTTTCGAGCGTACTCATCGCAAAATGCATAGATATTATTCCATTCTTAACTTTTACAATTACATAAATTGGGGTTAGCTTTCACGAGACTTAATGTTGTGAATACAATTTCGTTAAATAAACAATTGTTAAATAGTTATATTCATGACTGTAATCATTTAAAGGTGACGATTAAAAAAAAAAACAAGTGTGAAATAACATCTAACCCGATGCAAAATTTTAAATACTTTGCAAGAAAAAAAATAGAATAAAATTATAAATAATTTCAAGATAAATTTCGTTTCTTTTATACCGATTTATTACCATATATAACCCATAATATTAAAGATAATTCGCTAGTTATAGCTCGTTCACCAGGAGTTGGCACTTGGCTCCGCCTGCATCACGTGGTATGCGATGATACTATTTCGCTATTTTTGGGGGAAGGTTGTGAGCAATCCTGAACAATCTTGCTATTTGGCGATCGTTTGGCAAAAATATTTATTTCGCAAACTTTATGTGCATTTTTTTAACAATAAATATTTCATAAATTTGATGATATTTTGCGCCATTTTTTATGATATTTCTTTCTTTTGAGTGAATAGTTTGTCCTTTATGAGACATTTCGCTGGGAGAACAGCAGTTTTTAAATTTAATGTATATTTAATTAGCTAGTGTAACAAAAGGTATAATAGCAGTTGATAAAGCAAAGTAAGTGACTGAAAAAGAATTCACTTTTTGTGTTTGGCGCAAATTAAGGGTTGTCTCAATTTCAACAACGGAGATGTTTCTCTTCTAACTCCCGCGCTGAAATGAACTCTGCGTCCGAGGAGGTGGAGCCAAGTCTCAACTCCTGGTGAACGAACTATACCTACCTTTTACAGGTTATTGTTTTTTTAAGAATTGCTTGAATTTTGTGATGAGTAAACTTTCAAACAAAGTATTTTTGAATATTTTTTCATGAATTTTCTAGAATGTACATAGAATTAGCATCATATCATATGTACTGTTTACAGCAATTAATTAAGTATTATTTGTCTTAGAATGAATTTTTTAATAGAAGACTTTCAGAGCTGAGCCTTCTTTCTCATTCCAAAAATTTATTGTAGTGTGAGTCCTAAAATTAAAAATTACTATTTTAGCTACGTTACGCAATACAAAATGTATCTTATAATCGCTAGGGGACAAAAAAAATTTAAATATATTATTTAACATTTGTATACTAATTATAGTTTAAAATGCAAAATGTGGAATGTGTAATGTCGAAACAGATTATTTTTAACTTATTTGATTTTTATCTTGCAGCAGCTACTCCTTTTAATATGATTAATGGTAAGAATAGTTTGAATTTAATAGTTCTTCTAATTTTTATTTTTGTTTTAACATAAGATTAATGTAAAATTTTATTGTACTCTATTTTTCTTTAATTATTTTTGCAAAAATTAGTTTTTGAAATAATTTTTTATTTGATTTAGAAACGTGACTCACAAATAGAAATTGAATTAGTTATAAATATTTATAAGTAATCCCGTTTAGAAAAATATTTACTTTATTACAATTAATCCTTATAAAGACTTTTATCTGTGAAATTTTTTATTGATGGATGTAAAGCAATCATCTAAACGATTGTTATAAAATATTTAGCTGCATAATTGTGGTTGTATTTAAAAATTACAATAGAAATTCATAAGTATATATAAGAGTGTTTTGTTTCAAAAAGTAAATTTATTTAATGTTATTGGAATGTTTTTATTAAGATTGTAGTTTAATGTTTGGTATAATAAGTTAACCTCTTATTTTTTTACTAATTTACATGTTTATAAAATTTCTTAAAAAATAACGTCACTCATTCTTTCAGGAGATTTTTCTGCTTCAAATGGTAAGTGCTATAACTTATGTTAGAATAACTTATGTAACAACTTATGTTAGATTTGTTGAACTATCAATATTTTATGTAAGAGTTTATTATGTAAATTATAATAGACATAGGGGAAGTCTCTGATCGATTGCAGTTGTTAATAATCTATATAAAAGTACTAAGAATAGAGGCTCAGGAAATGATTTTGCAATTTTAAAATTCTCATGCTGCCTATTTTGAGCACTACATAATATAATATCGAGAAAATAATATGAAACAAATTATATTAAATTAAACTAAAAAGTTTCCATTTCTTGGTAATATCGAATTGATATGATTTAAGGAACCTTATTTATTTCATCCTGTCATAGTTGTGGTACTATATTCTTCTCCACAACTAAAACAGTGTTTCCTGAGTGTGTAGATTCGGATAATATGGAGGGCAATATCGGATAAAAATTTAGGTTTGTAGAATGTGCAAGATTCATAGGGTGCTCAAAAATATAGAAAAAGTGGTATCCATATTAAAATAAAAAAAGCTATAAATTCCTTTTTGTCCGCAATCATCTTAAAATTGCGACACGAAATCAAATAAAAACCATTAACGAAGTGGAAGATCGTAGTAAAAAAGCTATTGAGGTTTCGTAAATAGATTTATTTAAAGATATAATGCGTGGCGGCAAGGAAAAACTTATTAAAATACAACTTATTTATTACTTTTGCTAGCTATTTTCATAATTTTATGGACCCGGTAATCCTTTGTATGTAAATACTTGTTGCTAAAAACCCCATCTCATTTAAGCTTATAATGAGATGGCAACCGAATTTATAACGTTACTCCATTATAATATTTAAGGCTTAAGTTGGCACGGAATTCAACTTCTTGACTTCCTTTAACTATTGATATTCATTTGAAATTCTGTTTTTTAATGTTGTAAAATTTTTTTTAAAATTATTTACCATCTTGAATTTGAAATTAAAAATTTCAGACAAGGCTAACACCCCTGGTTAGTATCAATTTTACTTTAATCATCTTCTATTTACATTCTTTTTAAATTTTATTTTTCAATGTTTCCAAACTTTTATGTTTGGAAACTTTGAATGGTTGTAACTTCATCATGTGTTGCGGGTTCACATAAGTAATATTTCTTAAGAAAGCAAGAAATAGTTTAGTTGTAATAAATTGGCAACGTAATATAAAATATTATAGAACAAACAATCGATAAGTTAACAAGGAAAAACGATGGCTAAAAATAGTTATTCTTTCTATGTTTCTTCCTATGTAAAATGTCCTCGTTATGTAAATAAATGTGCTCTTGTCTAAAACAACCTGTATCTGCTTCTTGTGAGTCGTAGTTCAATATTAGTATAAAATTCAAAGTTCGACTTCGCAACATCATGGTTTTAGTTTCGAACCATAAAGTTCTTTTTATATAAAAGAGATTCCTCTTCCAATCTCTTTAAATAATTAATTGAAATGTTTAAAATATTATATTTATTTGTTTAAAACCTTAATATATTGATCTACAACCCCTGGTTGGTATTAATTTCAATGATGATTCTCTCCTATATTATTTCTTTTTTTAACCATCCATTTTTTGATATTCTTTTAAAATTTTGCGATTAAATATTTAAACTCCAGTGAATAGTTTCAAGGAAGTGAATAGTTTTCATATTCATATTCTAGAATACAATGATATCTCTTTCAATCTTTTTCAATAATCAATTTAATTATTTTGAGTAATTTTTCATTTATCGAGGACTTTAATATTTTTATTAAAAAAGTGCTCTTCAATACAACTTTAATTTCTTATAAATGATATCGATTTTTTTAAATTATTCAAGTTTTCTAAATTTTTATGTTAAAACTCAGAAAACTGCACTACCCCGACTTAATATCAGTTTAAATGAGAGTTCTTTTCTAAATTTCCTTTTTTTCTTTGATTTTTTTTCAAGATTCCTTTTTGAAATTTTTTTTAAATGTTTATCCAACAAAATAATAAAACTGTTTCAAACCATAAAATTCTAACAATTAGAGATTCCTGTTTCCTTCTCTTTCGATAATTAATTGAATTGCTTTAAGTATTTGATTTAGTTAGAAAGATGCATAACATCTTGATATTAAAAAAAAACTTATTTGTTATACACGACTTTAGTTTAATTTAAATATTTTTTAAACTGATTAAGATTTCAAAGCTTCCATCTAAAATTTAGGAAAGTTCGCAAGTCCTTAATATTATTAATTTCAATGATGATTCATTTCTAAGCTTTTCTTTAGCCTGCTTATTACTGATTATCTTTTGAAATGTCGTTTTTAAATTATTCNATCCAGCAACTTCATTCACCATATGACCATTGGCACGGCCAAACACAATTGCCCCTTTTTGCCACTCTATCACATCTTTACTCTTACCCATATTTACACATAATTTCCGCTTCAAACAAAAATATCCCACTTATAGCTATTTGTTCATGATCAGGTTGAAGCAGTGTGCATGCAGTTGAGCACATCACTTGACCACTGCATCATCTAACGAAACCTAAGGATTCATCGGTGCTTGTACACTAGGGTGACTAATTTTTTGTCCGGTGAGCTTATATATATATATGTATATATTAAATAAACAAAAATTTTACTAGAATATAATACCTTAGGGGACAATATTTAATTAATTGGCATAAAATAGTAAAAGAGCCTCATAATTAAATTGCAAGTTAATTAAAAGAACTTGTAACAGATAGGAAAAATAAAATCCCTCATTTTTGACATGCTCTGTTATTTATGCTAAATTCTGTGATATTGACCATCCTAAACGGTATCTCAATTCTTTTTTAAAATTATCACATTTCAAGGAAAAATAAATTATTATAAGATTTTTAAAATTGCAAACACATTTTTTTAAAAATCCAAATCATGCATCGTATCAGAGAGGACATGGAATGCAACAGAGGGGGCGTCTTGCAAATTTGACAAAAAGCTAAAGGGTAATATGACTGTTAAAAGTGACTCTTCGGTTACTTAAAGTTGGAGTTGTCAACACTGCTATAATTGAAAAACGTGCTACATCTTTGTAGTTTTTTTTAAAATGACCGTGTTTAAAAAAACAAGAGCATTGTTTGTTTGTTTCTAAATTTCAGTTATTTGGGCAACAAAATTAACAACCCAATTTTTTTCTAGTGCTTTTTCCAGTATCAAAACTATAATAACATCAAAAGAATCCTAGACTGGAGTACATTAAATATGCCGGGTCAAAAATTTCTCCATGTCCCCCCCCCAAAAAAAAATCAATAACCTCTGGGAGCACTGATCGAGGAGTTTCCTTGTCTTTTGGATTGGGTTCAAAATTACAAAGCAACAAGGAACATTGGTAGCTGTAAACTCATATTTGGGTCAGTTGTTCAATGACGGTTATAAAATAAAAAATCAATTGAGCGATTGTCCTCAAGTCGTTAAATTTAGTAATTTTTTTGGTATTAAGCTTACTGAGTATGAGAGGAACTGTCCAATGTTTTCTTGGAGATGCAGGTAACATACGATTAGCCTTTTTAAAAGCTTTCCCCAATGCCTAAGGAATATTATAAAGAGAATATCCTTCCTCAATTTCTATTGCTTGTATCAATGTCTTTTTATTTTCCAGTATCTTAATTTTTTTTGCAAATTATGTGTTTTTCTATTAAGGTTTTTTTATTCAGAGTACTTCTGTTATCATAAATTTTCGTTTCATATTCTTTATTTTTCTTCTCACAAATAGAACATTCTATTTCTATACTCTCTCATTTTTGCAGATGCGGTTTTCCCCATACTGATTACTCATTTAAAAAACTTTTGACTATAAAATAAGTGCACTATCAAAAAGAAAAAAATTGCACAGCTTTGTGTAAAAAGTGTGCTCTAATAGTGGAAGACCTGGTTTAAACTAACTAAATCAGGATGCTATAGCACTTGTTTACATTCCTAGAGGTCCTTTTTAATGGTCAATTCCTCAATTTTGTGTAACTGAGGGGACATTTAGTTTTGTCCTCTCTGTGACGTCCCCTCTTTTATATGAGAAAATTAAAGAAAATTTTCTTCAAAAATATAACATAACATGATTATACTAATGGACATTATTGTAAAAACCAAACATTAAGTTATATGGGTTTTTGTGTAATGAATGGAATAAACTTAAAAGAATAACTGTAACAGATGGGACAAATATATATTTGTGATAATTCTTGTCTTAAAAAATAAGAAATTTTTTTAAAGCGGTAATCATAATTAGAAACAAGAACAATTTATTTTACAATATAAATCAAACTATATGCAAAATCGTAATATTTTAATATCTTATTCTCCTTTAAAACAGACAGTTTTTGTTGGTAGAATAAGTCAAAATCATAAATCCTCTCTATTTAGAATAAATTTTACTATAATCATGCATAACTCTAGAAAATAACTTTCAAAATTCATAAATTACAACAAATTTCCTTTGAATGATACCAAATACAAGGATATTTGCTTAAACTTTAAAATATAGACTTTATAACTTAAACTTTATATTCATTTGAAATTTTGTTTTTCAATGTTGTAAATATTTTTTATGAATTATTTACCATCATGAATTTTCAATTTAAAACTTCCGAAAAGTCTACCAATCAATCAATTTTAATGATGATTCATCACCCAGCCTCTTTACTTCCTATATTCATCTTTTATTTATATTCTTTTGAAATTTCATTTTTCAATATTGTAATTATTTTTAATGAATTGAATATGATCCTAAATTTTTTATTTAAATTTCCAATGTCTACAACTCCAGGTTGGTATCAATATTTATGATTTTTAATCACTCAGCTTCCTTACTTCCATTAACTATCTTTTATTGATTATTCTTTTTAAATTTTGTTTTTCAATGTTTCATTTGATTTTTGTAAACTAACTTATATTTTCAATTTAAAATTTCAGAAAAGTCTACAACTCCTGGTTAGTATCAATTTTAATGATGATTCTATTTTTAACTTCTTGACTCCCTTTAACTATTGATATTCTCTTGAAATTTTATTTTTCGATGTTGTAATTCTTTTTTATGAATTATTTACCAACTAAAATTTTCAATTTAAAATTTCAGAAAAGTCTACAACCCCTGGTTAGTATCAATATTAATGATGATTCATCACCCAGCTTCTTTACTTCCTATACTCATCTTTTATTTATATTCTTTTGAAATATCACTTTTCAATATTGTAATTACTTTTAACCAATTAAAATCCTAAATTTTTAATCTAAAATTTCAGAAAAGTCTACCACTCCTGGTCAGTATCAATTTTAATGATTTTTAGTCTCTGAGCCTCCTTACTTCCCTTAACCATCTTTTCCTGACATTCCTTTTAAATTTTGTTTTTCAATGTTTCAATAAATTTTTTTCATCTTAAATTTTCAATTTAAAATTTCAGAAAAGTCGACAACTCCCGGTTAGTATAAATTTCAAGGCTTCATCCTGCTGTTTTACTTCACTTAATCATAATTCTTTGATTTTTTTAAAATTTCGTTTTTCCATGTTTCAATTGTTTTTTATGAATTATTTGCGATCTTAAATTATTAATGTGAAATTGCAAAAAAGTCCAGAACTCCTGGTTAGTATTAATTTCAAAGATGATTCTTTCCCAATCTTCTTTATTTTTATTAACCATATATTATTGACTTTCTTTAAATCTTGTTTTTCAATATTTCAATTGATTTTCATGAATTGTTTACAATTTTAAATTTTCAATTTAAAATTTCAGAAAAGTCCACAACTCCTGGTTAGTATCAATTTGAATGATAATTCATTACCTATAACTTCTTTACTTCTTTTATTCATATTCTTTTGAAATTTTGCTTTTCAATGTTTTAGTTTATTTTTCTTAATTATTTGCGATCTTAAATTCTCAATTTAAAATTTTAGAAAAGTCTACAACTCCTGGTTAGCATTAAATTTACTTTAATCTTATTTTATTTGTATTCTTTTTAAATTTTATTTTTTAATGCTTAAAAACTTTCATGCTTGAAAACATTGAATGGTTGTAATTTCATCTTGGTTGTAGTTCCAAACATCATGGTAGTAGTTTCAAGCCTTAAAGTTTTTTTTATATAAAGGAGATTCCTCTTTAAAATGTTTAAAAAGTTATATATTTATTTGGGTAAAACCTTAATATATTGATCTACAACCCTTGGTTGGTATTAATTTCATTGATGATTTGTCTCCTATATTATTATTTTTCTTTTGACCTTCCATTTTTGGATATTCTTTTAAAAGTTTGCGTTTAAATATTTAAACTCCAGAGAATAGTTTCAAACCATAAAATTTAAATATACAGAGATTCCTGTTTCACTTTCTTTCGTTAATCAATTGAATAGTTCTGAGTATTTGAATTAGTTAGAAAGGTCCTTAACATCTTGATTTAAAAAAAAAAAAACTGATTAGTTTGTTCTTATTTACGACTTTAGTTTAATTTAAATATTTTTAAACTGATTAGGATTTCTAACTTTCCATCTAAATTTTAGGAAAGTTCACAAGTCCTTAATATTATTAATTTCAATTATGATTCTTTTCGCAGCTTTTCTTTAACCTTCTCATTGCTGATTATTTAATAAAATGTCGTTTTTATATTATTCAACACCAAAAAAATTCGAAAATAGCTTTCACTAATCAAATGCTTTTATAGTTAGTTTAATTTGTTTAATTGCGAGCATATTTAATATAATCTTTTCCTAATTTTTAGAAAAGACTACTACTGGTTAGTATATTTTTTGTAGAGGAGTTATTTTGAATTTTAATGTAATATAAGTTCCGAAACAATGTTGTAAAAAATTTGATTGGTAATACACTGTCTTTTTCTAGTTATTATTTGTCACAATAAATTTTTTTCCATTAAATATCAATAATAATGACAGTAATAAAAATAATGATAATAGTGACATTAATAATAATCTTGCACAGAAATTCTTAATCCTCATAATTAAATTGCAAGTTATAAGAGCGTGTAACAGAGGGAACAAATCAAATCCCACATTTTCGACTTGCACTGTTATTTATGCTAAATTCTGTGATTTTCACCATCAAAACAGTTATCTGATTTATATTTTTAAAATTATCATATTTCAAGGTAAAATAAATTATTATAAGATTTTTAAAATTGCAGATGAATTTTTTAAAACTCCAAATAATGCATCGTATCTGAGAGAACATGGAATGTAACAAAGAACAAATACAAATTTGAAAAAAAGTTAAAAGGAAATATCACTGTAAAAAGTGATTCTTCGGTTATTTAAAGTTGGAGTTGGCAGCACTGCTATAACTGAAACCCGTGCTACAACTTTGTAGTTATATTTGAAAATGCTTATTTTACCAGAACGTGTTTAAAAAAACAAGTGCATTGTTTGTTTGTTTCTCAATTTCAGTTATTTGGGCAACAAAATTATCTGCCCAATTTTTATCCTAGAGCTTTTACCAGTAGTAAAACTATCTATTACAGCATCAAAGAATCCCAGTGTCTTAAATGGTGACTGGAGCACATTAAATATGCCGGGTAAAAAATTTCTCCAAGTTACCAAAAAATAATCAATTACCTCTCGTGGTACTAATCGAGGAGTCTCCTTGTCATTTGGATGGGGTTCATAGTTGCAAGGGTACGGAGTTGAACATTCGTAGCCTTAAACTCAAATTTGGGTCACCTGTTCAACGACGGTTGTAAAATAAAAAGTAATTGAGCGATTGTCGCCAGTCGTTATATTTAGTAATTCTATGTAATTATGGCAAACAATTGTGATTTTAATATTAAATTCACTTTTTCGCGAATAGCACATAAATATGGCTACACATAAATATGGATAGGTCGTAGCACAACAAACTTGTATTTGCCAATTTTTATGCTTGGATGCATCTGCTTTGATAATTGATATGCTTCCATCAAGATGCACATTTGGCTTTGAGGACTTTCTGTCCATTTTCTCTGACAATCATGCACTCAGCTCAAACAGAAATCTTTTAATAAAGCTTATCAGATGAGTAGAATTTTATCACAAGTCTTTTTTGTTTCATAAAAATCTTTGCTACTAGGCATTTTTTTTTTGTTTCGGTAGTAAGGTTAAAGAGTATGTGGAGAATAGTACAACGTTTTCTTGGAGGTACAGGTACTGCACGGCTAGATTTTTTAATAGCTTTCCTCAATGTCTAAGGAATATTATAACGGGAATATCCATCCTCAATTTACATTGCATGTATTAGTGCCTTTTCCTTTTTACTTTCATTTTTGCACAATTTATCTATTTTTCTTTTAAGGTTTCTTTCTTCAAAATACTTCTGTTATCATAAATTTTCGTTTCATATTCTTTATCTTTCTTCTCACAAATATCTTTATTGATCTGAGAGAATATAGAACATTCTATTTCCATATTCTTAAATTTTTTCTGCAGCGGTCTTCCCCATACTGATTACTCATTTAAAAAACTTTTAACTATAAACTAAGCACTCTATCAAATAAAAATTGCACATCTTTGTATAAAAGTGTGCCCTAAGAGTAGAGGAAATGGTTTAATATAGCTGAATCATAATGCATTAGCACTTGTATACATTCCAACAGTTTTTTTTAATTATCAACCAATCAATTTTGTGTAATTAAGGGGACATTTAGTTTTCTCCTCTCTGTTACGTCCCCTCTGTTACATGAGAAAATTTAAAATTTTTAATTTCTTTTCCTCAAACATATAACATAACATAATTGTACTAAAGGACTTTGTTGTAAAAACCAAACATTAAGTTAAAAGGTGTTTTGTTTTATAAATAGAATGAACTTAAAAGAATAACTGTAACAGAGGGAACAAATCTATATTTGAGATAATTTTTGTTTTAAACGATAAGAATTTTTTTTTAATGGTAATCACTTTATAATAGACCAGGAACAATTTATTTTACACAATAATACGTAAAATCGTAATATTTTCCATTACTTATTCTTTTTTAAAATAGACAGTTTTTTTTGGGAGAATAAGTCAAAATCATATATCCTCTCTATTTATAATAAATTTTACTATAATGATGCATAACTTTAAAAAATAACTTTTAAGTTCATAAATGACAACAAATGTCCTTTAAAATGATACCAAAAGATAAGGATATTGCTTAAACTTTAAAAATTCACTACTGGTTTCAGTTGGCATGGAATTCAACTTCTTGACTTCCTTTAATTATTTATATTCACTTGAAATTTTGTTTTTCAATGATGTAAATATTTTTTATGAATTATTTACCATCTTGAATTTCCAATTTAAAATTTCAGAAGAGTCTACCACCCCTGGTTAGTATCAAATATTATGATGATTCATTACCTAGCTTCTTTAATTCTTCTATTCTAATTTTTTCGAAATTTTGTTTTTCAATATTTTAGTTTATTTTTCTTAATTATTAACTATCGTAAATTTTCAATTTTTAGAAAAGTCTACTACTCTTGGTTAGTATTAATTTTACTTTAATCATCTTTTATTTATATTCTTTTTAAATTTTATTTTTTGATGCTTCCAAACTTTCATGTTTGAAAACTTTGAATGGTTGTAATTTCATCATGGATGTTGTTCCAAACATCATGGTTGAAGTTTCAAACCATAAAGTTTTTTTTTATATATAAGAGATTCCTCTTTTAATCTCTTTAAATAACTAATTTAAATATTATAATTATTTAAGTAAAACCTTAATATATTGATCTACAACCTTTGGTAGGCATTAATTTCACTGATGATTTGTCTCCTATATTATTTCTTTTTTTTAAACTTTTCATATTTAAATATTATTTTAAAATTTTGAGTTTAAATATTTAAACTTCTGAGAATAGTTTCAAACCATTATATTCTTATATACAAAGGCATCTCTTTCAATTTTTTTCAATAATAAATTGAATTAATTTGAGTAATTTTTTTCATTTATCGAGAATCTTAATATTTTTATTAAAAAAAGTGTTTATTAATACAGCTTTAGTTTCTCATGAATGATATTGATTTTTTTAAATTATTCAAGCTTTTAAATTTTTTATCTTAAAACTCAGAAAATTACACTACCCCGGGTTAATATTAGTTTAAATGAGGAATCTTTTCTAAGCTTCTTTTCTTCTTTAACTTTTTTTTCAAGATTCCGTTTTGAAATTTTGTTTTTAAATGTTTAGCCAAAGAAATAATAAAACAGATTCAGACCATAAAATTCAAATATACAGAGATTTCTGTTTCACTTTCTATCGATAATCTATTGAATTGTTTTAAGTATTTGATTTAGTTAAAAAGATTCATAACATCTTGATTTTTTAAAAAGAATAAGAACTGAATAGTTTGTTTATATTCACGACTTTAGGTTTATTTAAATATTTTTTAAACTGATTAAAAACTTCAAAATTTCCATCTAAAATTTAGGAAATTTCGCAAGTCCTTAATATTATTAATTTCAATGATGATTCCTTTCTCGGCTTTTCTTTAACCTTCTTCTTACTGATTATCTTTTGAAATGTCGTTTTTAAATTATTCAACAACAAAAAAATTAAAAAATAGCTTTCACTGATCAAATACTTCTATAAATAGATTCCTCTATAAATAGATTCCTCTTTAATTAATCAATATAATGTTAAGAGTATTTTGTTTAATTGTGAGCATATTCAATATAATCTATTCTTAAATTTTAGAAAAGACTACTACTGGTTAGTATATTTTTTGTAGAGGAGATTTTATGAATTTTAATGCAATATAAGTTCCGAAACAAATATTTTTATAGATAATATTTTTACACTCATTTTGTAAGTGAGATAAAACAATCATTAATAGTATCGTACAAAAAGAGTAAAGATACGAGCAACATAGCAAGAGTTCCACTTGTTTTAATGTTAGTGTTCTTTTCATACAAAAAGTCTGTAATATGAAATATATCCCTGTTATTTGCATAAATTGTGATAGTATGCTGTAAAATTTTTATTATTTAATTTTTATAGATCCTTCGAAACAATTAGCAAAATTTACAGCAATTATCTATAATATATAAACAATTAAAAATTTATATGGGCAGAAAATATGCTCTCTTCACATTAGTATCGATAATTTCTACAATAAAACATTAGGTTTAAGTATTGTCCCTTTTTTCTTCAACCTACAGACTTTATCAAAAAGTGAAAAATATTGGAACTTCTTTTGGGTTTCTAAAATCATTCCTTAAAGGATCTTTTGGCTCAGAGTTTGTAAGAAATCACGATAATTTTTACAGGATATCGGTTTTTGAAAAGTCTCTAAACACAATTCGATTTTGTTTCTGAACTGATCGAAAATTAACCTTTTATATTAAAGTACAAATTTATAATCACAACTAAAAACACAAATTATAATCTTACTATAAAAAAATATTATAAAAAATTTAAACAAATAATTATAAAAAATTAGTATTACAGAAAATTTCAAAATGTATTATCATTTATTCCTTTCTTTATTACGCCTTTTTATATTTTAACCAATTTATCCTTTACTTTGTTACCCATTATTTCATTGCCATATTACCCATTTGTCCATTATCACACTATCCATTACTAAGTTATCCATTTCTACATTAACATTGTACTCATTTTATTCCACTAGATCCTTTTACATGTCCAATGAAATACATTTCTTTACAGATTAATTTTTTGCAATATTTAATTAGATGTATATTAATATATACTGTATAAGTTTAAAAGTTATTAATGTCTTATCAAATATTGAAAGCTTAAGAAAGTATCTGCAGTAATTATGCTCTAACTTATGTTTCATAAATGTCTTTGTTTCTAATAGAATCTTATTAATTTCTGCTAAAATTCTTATTAGTTTCCAGTCTACTATAATAAAATATAAACAAATTTAAAACTTATCTTTAATTTTTTTAGGGGACCGTATAATTTATAAAATTCATTTCGAGTTTGAAATTATGTTTATTTTACAATAAACTATAATCCCTTTCTTAAATAAATAATGCGTACGAGATAACTTTACATGAACCCCTGTATGAAAAAGCCTTGAAAATGAGTTTAACATTATCATTATGTTAGCCTTTTTAGTTAAAAAAAATGTTTATTCAATATCCTCAAAATATTTAGATAAAAAAATATCTTTTTTAAGTTACTTTTATTAAAATAATAATTTAACAAATAATAATGTGTTAAATTTTAATTTTAAATCATTACAATAAAATTTTGATGATCTATGGTAATTTTTAACTATTAAAATAAAAGAAATAGGAAAAAATTCAAAACAATATAAAAAAACATTTATTAAATGTAAAATTTAATCTACGTAGTTTGTGTTTCAATAATAATTAACCATTTCTTTTTTATAGAGTCTCCTGGTAGTCCTTTCCCTATCCTTGACCTTTCTCACACTCCTGGTAATGTATATACATAAAAATGTATGTTTGTATGTATGTCTGTGCGTCTATATAGGCACCTGAACCATCTAATTAAAAGGAACGAAGGTTGGCATACAAATAAGTCGAGCATGAGAAAGTCTACTGTTGTATTTAAACTTTCTATGACAAACCATTCAATCGCGATAATCCAAAAACGAAGTGGAATTTTCCGATTAATTACGCGTTATCCATTGTTTTGATTTAAACTATAGACGATTCTATTTTCCAAGTATTTTAAATATAAGATCAGCAATATTTGTTAGATTTATAGCAATAATTCATAAAATAAAAATTGTATATCTCGTACTTTAATATTCAATTTTTTTTGCTCGCTGTGTTGAATAAATTCATTAAACATTAACGTGGTAGGATACGGGGACTACGTCATCTGAATAATATTTTTTTATTTCAATTACAATTTTAAAGTTATGTGATGACATGCGTTAATTTTATGCATAATAATTTTTTAAAGCGTGTTTCTATTAAAGTAAATACTTTAAAACCTATGGTAATTGAAATTAAACAAAACGCTAGTTATAAATTCAAGAACAAAATTATGGAAAAAGGATACTATTTTGCTCAGTAAGCATTTGGTGATTATTAAAACTGCATCAATACTAATCAGTCTTAAGACCAATACTATGGAAATAACTGTCTTACTGTCACTTGAAGGGGATATGCATCGGCGAAAATTACTTGATTGAGAAAATTACTATAATTTTGACTATCATGAGTTGGCTATGAGGATTATCACGTAAAGTACAGTTCATCTCTATATGAAGGTATGAACTTCAAAGAACAGTGTTTTGTTTAATATAGTAATAAAAAACTAACCTAAACTGAACTATTTTATTATTGATTTATTAGAAAGCGAGACTAATTCTCTGTCTTATTTTATTTACCACGGCCTGATTTGAAAATAAAAATCATGCAAGCATACTGAAAACTAAAGTGGTTTAGTTATGTTAAGATCAAAGTGAAACCAAACACAATTTTGTTAGATTAAACATATACATATTGATGAAACAGTATTATTTTGATGCCATATTATTATAACCATTGTATATTAGTTTCAGTGATTCATAAAAATAGATCTTACCTGGTTCTTTGTTTTAAGCCAGTGTTTCTCAAGCTTATGACTTTCGTGTTCCCTTCCTAAATTTTTCGAAACACTGTGTACCACTAGTAAAAAAATTAATGTATTTTTTTTAAAAATATGCTTATTTTTACAATAAAAAATTGCACAAAAGCTACGAATAAAAACTGGTTGTTGACTTCACTAATTATTAACTTAATTTATGACACAGTTTTATTCTCAGTAATTACTTTTATTATCAGTATTTGTAAATTATGGCACATTTCTCAGACATATTTTTTTTTAAACAATGTTCTTTTAATATATTTTATAAAATAAATACAATAAGGATTGTTTCTTCATAATTTTTTTAAATAAAATATTTTATGTAATTTTATACAAATTTAGCTTTAGATTATATAATTAACCGAATAATGATGCTCATGGAGAATCTGCTTAGGAAGTTAAATAAATATACTAAAATATAAATTAGTTTAAAATATGCGACTATGAGAAATTACTTTTATTAAGATAAGCTTAATAATTAAGCAACGTTATGACGATGACATATTAATTTGGATTGGAGATTTGAGTAGACCAAAAACAATTTGTATTTACAATTCAAACAGACAAAGAAAAAATCATTTCACAAAATTAATTCAATTCTTACAGATTATCACTGAATTAATCCAATTTTATTTTTTTCTAAATACTGAAACAAATACTATCATTGAATGTTGAATGTTTTAGTTATGAATTTGTTTTGTTTGTGAATTTATGTTTTGAAATAAGGCATGCAATGCTTCGATCAAAAATATTTAGCTCTATAAAAATAGTTTATTTTTAAAAAAATAAATATTTTTAAGGTTATTGCCCTATTTGACTACTATTACACGGAGAAAAAAATCTGGTAAATAACTGTGTTGCATGGTGATGACATTTCTGGTAAAGCAAAACTATAATTTTGGTCAACTAAACGATATTCAAACCATTCATATAGCAATTCTTCCGCTCACACGGTTACGCTTTATGGAAATTCTAGTTTTCAAAATTATAGTTCTTATTACCTCACATTTTGTAAAAAATACAAAACTTGAAAGTAAATTTAACTGAATAACTGATTTTAATGCAATGCTCTAATGTATCATGACAAAAGTAGAAAATTTTAAAATATTTACCAAAATTTGTAACATATTATAAAACCACATTTCAATATTAATTATACCAAAGTTATTACCAAAGCACTTCAGTAAAAATACTACCGAGATTTTTATGTTCCCATACAGTCAGAAATACGGTGATTTTTACCACATTCTCTTAATTTAGACTATATTTTCCCCTCTGTGTAGCAGCGAAAATAAAACTCATTAGTAAACAGATAGAAGTGCAGCAAAACCCTTTAATGTACCTTATTACTTTTGCTGCCTTTTTACTGACAATTTCACGTATTTAAATGTTTAAATGCTTCTCCAAAAAGTAATTAAATTGATGGACAAGTAACATATTACATATATTCTCTCACGAACAGCTTTAGAATTTCTTCCAATGCAACGAGCTCCTATACGTATTGCTCCGTAACTATTTTCAGTATTTTCATCTCCATCGTAACTATTTTCAGATATTCTCAAACATAACAATGGTAACTTTACTTATTACTGTATAAAATTCCAATTAACATAATTATTACCATATGTAATTTTAATTAAAATAGCTATTACCATATGTAATTTTAATTAGAATAGCTATTACCATATGTAACTTTAAATTAAACATTACCATATTTAATTTGACATAACAGCAGTGATACAAATTTTTATTTAGGCTCTAGGGAACAAAAAGAATCATTATTCCTTCAGCAGGCTTTCTTTTTAAGAAATTTTTTTATATTTATTCTTGCATATTTATCATTTTCGAGTAAAAATAAAGTTTTTGTCTTCCTCAGAGTAACAAAGCCTGTTGACCAACAGAAGCCGACATTTTTCATATTTAGGAAATCGTTGGTTGTTTTTCTACACTAATGAAAACATTTTTTAAAAGAAAAAGATAAAATATATGCAAAAAAAAAAATCATTTTTAGATTTTTTTTCTCTTCATTAGAATTAAACTTAAAATTTTCATTACAGGGTATAACTAGAGAAAAGAAAATTTGCTTCCAAGTTCCATGTTTACAACTGAGTTGGACAGAGAGGTTCATTCAGGAACAATTAATCAATGTCTTCATGAATAGTTCAATATCTTTTTCAATATTGTACATTATTTTAAAATGACATTAAAGTAATATATGCATTAAAATGCTTAATGTCTTCATTTTTATTTAAGCGTATTTCCAAAATATGCAAAGATTTACTTAGGTGTCAATCAAACAGTTAGCTAAAATAAAACAGTTTAAATATACGTATGCTGTTATATATTGAAAAAACTTACATTTTTGTAATGGAGTCAAATGCATTACATTAATACTATAAGAATTTGTCATTTAACTAAAGTAGAAAAAGCAAGATATTTGTATTTTTATAGTATAATTAATAAATATGGAGCCTTTGATTGTTGGTAGATTTGTAATTAAAAGGAAACTAAGTAGAGGCATAATTAGCTTGAGCGTTTTATTTCTAAAACCAACTCTTTCTTCCAATCAAGCTTCAGAATTAGTTACAAAATATGTCTGAGAATTTTAAAGGGATGAAAAGCTACAAAATCTGTTTTCTAACTAACCATTACTTGCTGCAACAAAATGGGTTGAAATAACAGAGAATCAATTTAGTCGGAATAGCTTTAAAGAAATTTACAATTATTTTATAAGAAGGTACAAAAATGATATTTTCCCATAATTTAAAATAATGTCATATTAATCTCTTTAAGAGTCTTAAATATGTAAGTTAATTTGAGAAACCTCTTAAGGTGTTATGCCTCTAGAGAGGAAGAAAGATAAGCACCCTTTGGGAATATTGTCAACCAGGTTAATAAGCAAGTCAAAATTTTGAAGAAAAAAATCTAACCTGTAAAAATTAATATTAATCCAAATTTGCCTTTCACTATATTTAAGAGAAAAAATAGTTTAATTGCCAATACAAACAACTTTTAGATTTAGGATGCTTTGCTTTTTACTAATTTAAATAAAAAAATTAAGATTCACAAATCTAAATATTAATAATAAAAAAAACGCTTTTTCTTATACTTACGGGTGACAATTATTTTTTTCTAGTTTATTATTTTATGAATCCAAATTGTGTCTATCAAATTACGGAATGTGTTTGTTATATTTCGATAATGAGAATATTAACAGAATGGCAAAACATTTGTAACAATGAAATGAATTTTACAAAGTTTCAGTTTGAATTTAAAAGGAAAGTACAAACTCACTGTTCCTTTTTGACGAATTAATCAATTTTAATTACTTTGTCTCATACTAACTCAGAATTTCCACTTTGAACGATTTCTTTTAATTTTAATTTCGGAAATTTTAATATAGTTATTTATGAGAAGTGAGGGAAAAAATTATTTAAAGTATTGTTTTTATTTAATGAGTGAAGATTAAACAGTTAAACAAAAATATAAATCAATATTTAGATCTTATAGTGTGTTAAAAAAGATTTATAGCCCTGATTTTACCAATTATTTATAAGTAAAAGGAATTTTACTTTACTTTAGATTTGAAAGGTGAAAGATTAATGAAAACATTCTTAAGCTTTTATATTTAGTTACTAATTGTATTGATGATTTAGTAAAAACTGCAGTATTTTTTCAAGAAAATAGTAGATTTTTTTTAAAATTTGCAGTAAATAAAAATAAAATAAAACAAATGAATTCACAAAGGTTAAATAAATTTAACTTCAGTTTAAAAATAGAATAGTGACGTATGATGTAATAAATAATTGAAAACATGATAAGAAAACTAGATCAGCTTAAATAACCTTTGTACTAATGACTGGATTTTCACTACAAAAGTGCAAGTGGAAAAATAAGTGGTTTGAAAGCGTAATCTCATACATTCTAAAAAATTAGTTCTAAATATTACTTACGTTAAAGACAAAACAATAACGTACTTTCTCTGAATAAATGAACATTTTAAATATTTTACCATCAAACTATGAGGGTATGCGCAATATGAAAAATGTGGTATTGATAGTTTCAGCTGGAGATCTGTCTAATGTTTGTGTCCTTAACTTAAATTTCATTTCCTGAGTATTTAGCTTCAATTCCGAAGGTTTAAAAACAAATAGTAAAATAAGAGTCCAAAAAATTATAGAATCTTAAAAGCGAATATTTTCATTTGCTAAAAACTACGTAACATTAATTTCTTAAAACGATAATATACAAAATACATACAGTGAAATTGGTTGAATAGTTTCTGAGTTACACAATTTCAATAATGTGATATTTTAATGTTGTATTTTCCTAAATTCTTAACCAAATTTAGTATTTCTTTTTTCAAAATTATAGTTTAAAATGATGTAAAACTTGTATACCTTACAATTCAAAATTTCAATCCTTCTTAAATTTACTAATAAAAAACTATAGTTGTTTTCTTTTTTGCATCTTTGGATAAATTAAAATTATAATCTTGTACAAAAAAGTTTAAAGCTCTGTAAATAATTGAGTATTCGAACAAAAGTTGTTCAGGTTGATATCTTTTTTTTTTAGTCCATTATATACAATAATGGTCAAAGTATTTTAATATTTTGACTCTTTTCCTGTTTGTGATAGCATTTGAGAAGAAATAATGCGTTTAGAGTGGATCGTTCGTGTATTTGTTTAGACTATATCTTTAACTTTATTTCAAAACTAGCGTTTATGATACTGCTTTTACAACTTGAGATTTAGTTAAAATTACTAGCTATGTTGATATTGTATTGAATAATGTTGGTTTAGGTTTATCACAATCTGGCACAATCCTTTAAACGAATTTTCTTAATAAATATAAAATAAGAACAGTATAAAAAATATATTTAATCAATACTGTGTAAAGTCAATCCTAATATTTAGAGTTCTACAAAATTCTATAATAATAATATAACAGAAATATGTTATTGAAGCATGTTAAGTACACAGTAAAGAAGTTCTGGATTAAATTACTGCAAAATGGTACTTTTTATCGTAAAATCTCATTTTTACAGGAACATGTTACAGAAAACAAATTTTGACATGCTGAAATTTTTAAAGTAATAACTCTCATAAAATCACTGAATCACTCTACTTAAATAATAACTACAGTAAACATTATTACAATATAGTATTTCAATATAAAATTAAATTGTAGTGCTGAATGGATTTAATGGATGAGGACGGTACATTATACCGCAATTTGGTCCGATTTTTTTTACAATGTATAATAAATGTGTTTTTTCTGTGCATCGTTAAATAATTGGGAATTGAACATTAAAAATTTGATATAATCACTAGCATTGCACGAGGGAAAATAACTCTATCACAATTGAAATACTTGCATGGTAAAAACATTTCTCGTAAAAAAAAACAAATTTGGCTAAACTCTACTGGCAATTTAACCAAAGTTTACGATATTTTAACCATTCGTTTGGAAGCTTTTCCATCTGGCAATAGTTAACCGGGAAATCTTGTTTTAAAGTTATAGTTATTATTGCCATACATTTATACAGAGTAAATGTTACACCTACATGTTCTAAATGAAGTGCCTGACTGACCACACCTGAACATATCATCGACTGCCTTGGTCTTTTCAGAGGAGACCTCTGCGTGGATCCGCTTGATATGCTCAGAGTTGCTGGTGGCATGAACTTGATTCAGCTTTACTAATAATTGAGGACTAGCAACATCACACAAAGCACTGTTTATAAGCTTTCAAGTTGAATATCAAGAGAAAATACTCAAGTTTTAAAGAACAGATGACAGAAATTAGATGCATCTACTGTAGTGATGAAGTAGCGGGTTCGAATCCCATTGTATCCCAGGATATATTTTTGTGGTTTCTTTCTCTATCTTCTCCTATTAGTACTTTGAGTTGGCAAGTACTTAAGCCGAACTTTGTAATGAGTACACAAGCCTATATATGTATGCGTAATAATATTTAAATAAATAAAAGTAGATAGATAACATTAATTTTGAAAAGATATTCGAACTTGGTACATTCACGCTTTCATTTCAGGATACTGAAGAATTCCTTAAGCGCAACAATTAATAAGTTACTGATTTTTAGCAATGTTCAGGCATTTGTATATTTACAAATACGCCTTTTTATATTTTTAAGTCCCACAGTGACATCATATAGTCGTAACTCATATAGTATAAAACACTGTTCTCAGTACATCACCGAAATAAAGCATCACTGACTGCGGTCAGTTAGCCGGGAGGGGTAACTGATTTTATCAAATTGTGAATGGACCGAGGGTGCATGTTATCGGTCCTCGCTAAACTGTTCTACCGTAAAGCCGTCGACTTCAAGTGCAGGTCATTCAGCTACCACAGTGGATCTCTGCAGAGGATCAAACTTGTGATAACTTGCCATGGAATTATCCTCTGGGATGTTTCCTAACCATCTTCAGTAGCCTTTTCTGAAGTTCTAGTGAAACATAAATAATGTTTGATGAAGTTAGATTACAGTTAATAAAGAAATAAAAAGAACTAAGCGACCAAAAGGAAGTTTACAAGTGTTTACTAAATACAATAGAGATTATCCTGCTGAAAATTTTTGCGATATCTCAAATTATACTAGAGTGGTAAAATTACAAAATTTTGAAACCTTCATATGTTCTAAAGCATTAAAGCGTTTTAAAAACTTGAAATGTTTACATTTACCTAAAAATGTATTTCACATATAGCTAATAAACTACCGTAAATATATTTCTGAACATATATTTTCATTTCAATTCTGGAGGAGATGAAATAAAAACAATTAGAAAATATGCATCATTCACACATATCATTCACTGCTATTATTCTTTCACAATAAAGAGAAGTAAATTAAAGATGCTATCACTAAAGCAAATGCAGCGGTCGTACATAAAATGAAGCAATTACACCCTCAGAAATTTTTAGGTGTGTATTTATTGATGTCTCGAAAATAATATCCCTATTTTAGTGTTTAAGTGGAAGCTGCATTGGATAGCTGCGTTTTCAGTTAGGAGCAATGTCATTATATCAGCTTATTCTAGCATGTAGCATCTTGGGAGGTAATATTTTTTAAAAACAATGAAACAGTGACAGCTTATGTCATAGATTGTGATCATTACCTAATAAAAATGATATATTTTTTTTTCTGGAAATAATAATAAAAATGTTTTAATTGACTCTCTTGTAATCAAACCTAATTTTTATATTTTACAGTTGGAGTATTTCCAATTCGTAAGTTGAAAGCAACTGTTATAAATTTTTTACGTATGAGATTCAAACCTTAAAAAATGGAAATAAAAATAAAATATGATACAAGGTGTTTTAATCATAACTCAGAACATTTAAATTTTTAGAATTTATGTCAAAATTTTATAAAGATTTTAAAAATTAATTAGGGTTCGCAGGCTTAATCTTATGTATTTAATGAAACTAAAGTGTTGAAAGGCTCATTTTAAATTATAAACTTAACGAGAGTTTTTTTTCCTTCGAAATTCACTTTTTTTTGTTTTAAATAATGATTATTTATCGTTTGTGGTCGAAGCATATATGGGTCGTGATCATTATTTCATAAGCTCGTACTTGACCTGAAGTCAAACGTAGCAAAAAATGGATACACAAAATTAAAGGAATAAGTCACAGCATTTATATAAATTTTTTTTCAAAAATATAGATATTGAGATAAAAATTGAGATAAAAATCGTGTGTCACACTTCCTTAATTCTAACGTCTAATTGCTTTCTTAGTGAAGTTGATTTTTTTCCAAATAAAAGTAACCGTTTAATTTTTACGATTAACATAATAGCAAGATGTTCCTAAATAAAATTATATTAATTATATGTTTTATATACAAAATTAACTTTTTTTAAAGTGTCCAATTATTGAAAAATCCCGGAGGCCTTTGAGTGGACCCTCTTAATCTTATTGTTGTCGTTGTCACTTCCCTATATCAGCAAGCCTGCTTGATGAAACCAATCATATTTGGGTAGAGAGAGCGTTTCCTGTTTTTTAGTCATGCTATCTACGGCCGAGAATGTGTCAGACACTCGGCCACATACGATCAATCTCCACTTCAGTTCTTCCAGAGCTATAATTTGTTATGGGAGGACTTTCTGACCCGACAGATTTAACGTGCACCAGTCACCATTTACTACACGGAGAATCTTAGGCCAGAGGGATTGACTTCTAGGAAATGAGCCCGTGGATATTAGCTCACGACCTCTTGGATATTGGCCCAATGCCCTACTAACCAGACTACCCCGGCACTTTTAATTAAAAAAAAATAATTTTTTTTTTGATTTTGTCATTTAAATCTCTACTTTATTGTTATCATGAAACTACTTACATTGCATAATATTTAATTTCATATGTTTTTAGCCATACCTCAATTTTTTGGTAAGAAATATATTTTTTTATTGATTTCCATCCGATCGTGAGACACAATACATGCTGACTATAAAACTATTTTCATAAGTTTTTGAGTCAATGCTCGATTCCTATGGTTATTTTATTTTCAATTTTGGATCGTATAAACATTTATTTAAAAAAAGTTCTAATTTTGAAAATATTTCTCAAATGTGAATTCTGTTTTTTTATTTTTTTTTGTATTCTGTTTTTATTTTTTTATGCAAAGACCAAAACTTCAAACAATTGAATTGATGATAAAAATAAAAATAATAAAAATTAAAAATGATGTTAAAAACTATTTTATTTCCATTTCAGTTGCTAAGAAGCTATATAAGTTGCACAAAAACTTATAATGAGCATTATGGAAATCATAGCAATATTCAAACTTTCTTTGAAAATGTTTAAACTATGATGATTAAACTAAAAATAAAATGTCAGTGCAAAATTTTCAAAAATTAGCATGAGTGCCACAAAGTAAAATAATTTAACAAATTTTTAATAATAGTACAGCGTTATTTAAACTTTTTCAATACTAATAACTCAATTATAATCATGAGTAAAAAGAAGTATGGTAGCCGTAAGAGTTATTATTTATTATGGGGGAGCATGTCTTCATATAAATCTAAATCAATTATAATCTTTCAATAAAAATAGAGATATTAACTGGTGCTTATGTATACTTGAATGTAGATTTTATTTGGTAGAACATTTATCTTAAATATAATGTGTCTAGATATTGATCATTAAGTTTAATGCATGCATAAGGTGCACATAAGGTAAACATTGGCACGGGAAACTTCATTAAATATGAAAAATATTGAGTAGAGACTCAATTGAACAAAATATGAGTCGTAAAATGTTTTCATAAATGAGTATGATTATATGAAGAAGCATGATGTAAAACTAGATAATGAGACATTGACACTGGGTTTAATTATATTTTTGCGTAATCCAAATAATAGTAATAATAATAATAATTTTAAATATTTCTTCAGATGTTGTCAGCTGTTATTGCTGTTGAAATCAGGATGATGTTAGGTTATGTTAGATGAAAGGCAGTTTTTCCATTATAAATTATATTATGATTCTTCAAATGAGATAGCAGTTTACTTCCTTTTAAGAGAAAAGATGAAGAATTTTACATAAGTTATATTGAGTTACTGCGTCTCAATAGATATGACGTTTGCTACCCAATGAGGTTGCCCAGGTTCGAATCCCAGCGGTGGCTCGTTGAATGAATATATGAATGATGATATGAAATCCTGCTCTCAACTTGCACTGACTACAGTTCTGACATACAGCATCCTCAGTGCTAGGTGGATTATGGGTTGGCATTCCCGTGCAACAGTGAAATTATCGTGATTTTTCTCTCCAATTAAGGCAAGTGCGGGATGGTTCCCTCACATACTCTTCCCCGAAGGCTAGTTTTTCCAATGCTTGATCTAGAAAGTTTCTTTGTCCTTCGGGTTGGGTTCAAAAGTAGGCTCCAAAGTTGAGAAGTGACAGTCATTTACTGAGAATCGGGTAGCAGCTGTACAACACCGGCAGTAAAATGAAAAAATAAAGTAATTTTTTAAAGAAAAATAATTAAAATAACAGATGGTAAAATGTCAATGTCAAATAACAGATGGGTATATGAACAGCAAAATAAAGCTGAAATCTAAAGGGAGTTATTCAAGCAGTTATTTAATTTAACTATGTTCGAGTTAGCAAAATTGTTTAGATATTCAATTTGTTTGAAGAAAAGTTAAGTTTCAAACATATTCTCTGTGCTATAATCAAATGCAAGAATAATCTTGCTTGTATTTGCTTTCTATATGATTAAACTTAAATAGTGCAAAAAGAAAAAATATATTTTAATACGCGGTACGTTTTTTTTACATGAAGCACTTAAAAATAAAAAAAAGGTTAATAAATATTATTAGCTACTTTATTAAGATTTCTTTGAAAGTAGGAAATATATAACGATGTTTAATCTTATTTTCAGGACATTTTAATCCGTTTCCTCCAGGTAAAAAGTTTTGAAAATAAACTTGCATTTCTTACCGAAATTATAATATAAAAAAATATAACAATATTTATAATATTTTTTTCATTAGGCTTTAATCCTTTTCCTCCAGGTATCACTGTCCTTAATTTTTTTAAAAATTAGTTTGCATTTTTTTATAAAAATGGTATAAATTAGTTTAATTATATAGAAATAGAATAAAATATAATTAATATGAAGTGGTTCTAATCTTATTTTTAGGTTTCAACCCGTTTCTACCACAAGGTAACAAATTTTTTTCCCTAAGGAATTGTTGAAAAACTTTATTATTTGTTTGTTGACCTATTTATATAGTTGATTAAGTAATAGCAAGAACTTATTTTTGAAAGTTATAAAATTTTTCTTAATCATCTATACAAACTGAAGAAAATTTTCAATCGATAATACTATTTTAATTTAAAAATTTACTTTTTAATGATTTTAAAGTATATTCTTCGAGTTTAAGTACAAGTTTTCGTTTTTCAGGATTTTTCCCCCCAACTGCACCTGCACCTCATTGTAAAATTAGCTAGAAATGTTTTATAAATATCAATATATTTCTAATTTTAGCATTTCAATGCTTATAAAGAAATCCATTAGTTTAAAAAATAAAATGATTTATAAGTCCCCATTGATTTTTTTTAACTGTCATATTATTGATAATATAATAATAACTTTTATTTAATGCCATAGTTATTCAATATTAATATTATTATTTTCAATATTATTATTTTTAATATCACTAACCTTTTTATTATCATATTTACTTTATTACTACTAATATTGTTAATATGTAATAGGCAAAAAATTTTGAATTTAGTTTTTCGTTACGATCGTAAGTATATATACATTTTTTTAAACTGTTAAGGACTGTGCCCTATTTTCCAAATGTTTTTTGACCCCCCCTACTGTAGTCCTAGCTGTGTATTATTACTAATGTAATCTTAAAATATGACAGAAATTTACAATATCTAAGAAATAGTTCGGAACTTCAAAAAATACAATTTCAAGGACAGGTAGAAAATTCTTTTTCGAGGTAACTTAAAATTATAGATAGCAGTTAAGAGAGAAATTTTATTTTTTCCATATGTATGTTTTTTTGACATTATTCTTTGTCATATAAATCTTTATAATTCTTCTGTAAAAAATAAAAAAATATGTAAAAAAGAAATTAAATAAACAATGAAAAAAATGTACAGTTTTTGACTTAAAAACTGCACAAAATATATTTTTGAAGAATACTTATATTATTCTGATTGAATGTGCTTGAAAAACTAAAAATCATATATTAATAAGTTTAGTTTCTGCAAGAATTTTTATTCTATTATAGTATTGTATTCTATTCTTTTTCTTGATTAATTTGATGTATAAACAGTCGAAATAAAATATTATTTCATGCCGAAAATTTTTTTAATGTAATATTATTTGCAAGGAGGCATTCTAATATTAATTTTGAAATGAAATAAACGCTAATCAGATATATGATGAAAAAATGGTTTACTTTCATAAACATTACATGTAATTTTTTTTGGAAATAATAACAAAACATTTTAGAATCTTCATAAAATTATTAACACTTATTCAATATATATTTATTATTCATTATTATTCCTTTACACCTATATTTTATGAATATATATTTAAAAAAGTTTAAACTTCTGGTAACCTATATAGTTCAGATATTCTATGTGTGCTCTATTTTTCTACCCTTTTTAATTGTTTTTTAGAAACATTTTACCCAAATGGAAATGGCGGTAAGTGTCTTATATGCAATCGTACGGTATATGGTAGCAATAGTGTTTAAGTTTACATTCAAAGAAATGAATGTCAGACGAAGTAAGTTATCCCGCAGTGGTCTTACCGTGACGACATTGTTTCCAGTAAAACACTGCGTCACTTGCTGTGGTCAGTAGGCGGGTAGAGAGCACTTTGATCAGCCTACGTAGGGACCGAGGGTGTGCGGTATCGGTCCCCGTTTAACTGTTCTACGTTAAAGTACTAGGTCACTCGCACGAAGGTCGTTGGGCTATTAAGGCGAAGGAGCAATCCCTTCTGCCGATTATGGAAATTGTGAGGATTGGAGGAGTGAGTATTGTCTTAGGATTATTATCATCTTGCCCGTTGTCTGCGTATTTCTTGGTCTTCGGACTGGGCTAGGTTCTGTCAAGGCGATGAGACATCTTACATTTGGCGTATGGTCCCATAGGCCTGGGTCGCTGTATTAAATTCCTTTGGATTATTATCAGGGAAGTATCCCAGATCGTCGCGAATAGCCCATTGAGCAGTTCCAGAGCGACGTAATAAAATTCCTACCTACCTAAATGATTTCTTAACGATATGAGAAAGTGTGCTTTGGATTTAATTAAAGTTTGACGCTTTCATTCAAACAAAGTAATAATTATTTTGTCTGATTACCTGAGCCTTTTTATTTGATTACAGATATCGCGATGAGATTGCCCATTACACATTCCCCTCATGATTATTTTTTTATAAACCAGGCTGAAAAGTATAGCTTGCAAAAAAATTAAGCAAACTAATGTTTTTTTTAAAATAAAATTAAACAGTACACAGTTCAAGAATTTTGCATCCTACATGATATACACGTGTGAACTTGAACTCGACGTCGCAAGAGGATCAGGCCATTAGGTTCGATGACTCTCGCATGACGTCACGTACAGGTATTCAATTAAATCGGATACAATAATTTTTTTCAGATTGTTAAAAAATCCTAGCCTAAGAATTGTAATGTGAACAAACGTGGTTAGGCACAACTATGGTTAGGCACAGCCACGTGGTTAGTCACAACCATGTGATTAGTTTCAAGTACCCAAATTTAACTAAACAATTGATATATGGAAATCTTCTATGCATTTAAAATGTTGTGAAAATGTTGCCAACTATTAGATATGCTGAAGTTCGGATCTTTTTATTTAAAGAAAAATCTTATTTTCTGAAATGTAGTTTTCACATAATATTTCAAATGCTTTAAGTATTTTCCTCTTTGAAATATTTTACGAAAATCAGAAGTAAAAAAAATAGATTAATGACCATTCGTAATGACCATTTGTTACAAGTTTAATAGTGGATTTTGCTGTAATTCAGACTTAAAGACTTTTATCTTGCTTTCTAAATGATTGCATGTTAGCAGCTCTAACCAATGCCCAAGAGACTTAAAATGAGATCCAAGAAATACAGATAAAAATAGTAATACATTAATTGTATTCTAATTTTTTTTAAATAAAATAACTTCGTGTGGGAAATAGCAGGATTTTAGATAAAAGATAAAATGCTAACGAAATACACTTGATAGTTTGCGTCTTTTATTTTAAAATTTTAAGATAAAAGAAGTATTATTTGAAGTCTTATTAGAGTATTTATTCAGAATATATGAGGAACTCATTTTCCTACTTTTGACTATTATAATTTATCTAAACTACTTATTTGTAGGGTACTACGAAGCGCAACCACAGGGTAAATATTAAGTTTCTTAGTTTTTCAATGTATGAATTTTAATTCTGGTGGACATTTGCATTAAAGTTTAAAATATCTGTATATATATATATATATACATATATATATATATACATAAATACATATATATATAAACGTACATCTATGCATACATATTATATATTAATTTGTTTTTTAATAAAGCTTATCTATTTATCTCAGTTTTAGAATGACTCTTTTTTTTTTTAAATTGGTTTATTTAGCTATAAACGATGTGCATTTTAGATATCTTCAAGGGTTGGGATTTCCTCCAGAACGCTCGTAGAATATGCCAACTATAGTTCCTTCACCAAGAGTTGGCACTTGGCTCCACCTCCTCTGACGAAGAGTTCATTTCAGTGCAAGGAGTAAGAGGAATAACGTCTCCGCACGTGAAATTGAGACAATTCTTAATGTGCGTCAAACGCAAACAGTTAATTATTTTTCAGTCACTTACCTCGCTAATTCATCTGGTATTATACCTTTCGTTATTCTAGCTAATTAAATATATTGCAGCAAAATATCTCAAAAAGGACAAACTATTCACCCAAAAGAGAGAAATATCAAATTTATGAAATATTTAATGTTAAAAAAATACACATAAAGATTGCGAAATAAGCATTTTTGTCATACAATCGCCAAATAGCAACCTTGTTCAAGATTGTTCACATCCTCAAAAAGAGCGAAATATCATCGTCGCATACCACATGATGAAGGCGGAGTCAAGAGCCAACTCCTGATGAAGGAACTGAATAAAATATAGGAAACTAAAAATTATAATTATTTAAATAATTTCTAGTAATTACTGTGAAAAAGCTTAAATTTAAACAAATAAAATGTAGTGTAGTGCTTTAAAGTTTCTATTATTTACATATTCACAGTCTTTTTTTAAAAAAAAAATAAATGTTTTCACATAACATAATTCAGTTTTATACCGAATTTTTAAATCTATATAAAGTCTATTGTAATTTTTTTTTTTGAAAAAATATGTACGCCTATAATTAAATAAATTTGTACTGATAGAGGGGGGTGATCACGTAATTATTAC